ACTCTTACCCTTTCCCTAGAACAACGTCCTTGAGGCATTTACGGATTTAAATGATACCCATTTTGTGTCGTTTCTTAGCAAAACTCTTGGGGAACTCTCGGAGTGCGTTTGAAAAAAAAACCAATGCTGCCATATGTATGGAAAATATTTTCCACTTTTTAGTATTTTTATTGAAATGAAATTATTATTTTTTCATAGAACTTCTCCTTTTTCTTTTTCACTTTTTCTAATTCAGAATTTTTCCTTTTCCTTTGCTTACAGCGACTTCTTAGTTACAGTACGCGCACAGGTTATGACCAGAGACGAAAGCACCGAGGGTTGGTTACCACTCGCCGGGGGTGGTTTAGCAAATGTTTCAATACGGAAACGTGCTAGACTATCCCCTGGCGCCGCTGGACATGAATATATCATCTATGGCCAAAGAATCTCTGATCAAAGTGTGAGTATTAATAGAAAAGATAAAGAAATAAAAAATAATAAGAAATTAGATAAAAAATAATAAAAACAAGCTAGTGAAATTTATTTGAAAGTAGAAGAAAAATTTAAATACATTAATTAATTAAAATAAAAAATAGAAGAAAAATTAAAAAAAAAAATAAGTAAATGAAAAATAAAAAAATAAAAAGGTTAAAACAATATGAAAACATATAATTGAAAAACTAAAAAAAAAATAAAAAAGTTTAGGAAAAAAATAAAATAAAAATGGAAAAATGTAATCAATACAAAAAATAAATGAATTAATTAAAAATATAAAAAAATATTTTTTTATTTTTAACTCAAAAAAATAAAAGAATTCATAAAAATTTTGAAAATAATAAACATTAAAAATATTTAATTAAATGCATAAAGTCAAAACAAAATAACCAACAAATTTTATCAAACAAGATTTTATTACACATACATATGTATGTACATAGTAAAAAATTAAAAAAGATCAAAGGAATCTTATTTGGACCTACAACCATTTGGCGCTACAACCGTAAATAAAAAATATAAAAAATTAAATAAAAACAATAATAATGAAAGCAAAAAATAACATAAAAATACTATTATGTTTATTAAATTATAAAAAAAAATTAAAATAAGCAAAAAATAAAAAAAACATTAAAAATAAACGAAAATAAAATAAAATAAAAAAGAAAAGAAGTTTATAATTCAAAGAGCAATAACCAAAAACAAACATGTTAGACAAAAATATTCAACAATTTTAATAAAAATAAATCAAAAATTATATTTTTTATAAATTATAAAAATATTATTTTAAGCAAAAAAATAAAAAGAACAACCACAAATGAAACAAAATAAAATAAAAAAGAAAATAAGTTTATAATTCAAAGGCCAATAACCAAAAACAAACCATATGCAACAATTTTAACACAAATAAAATAAAAAGTGAAAGCTCCCATAAGCGGACACCGATGGTCTCGCCATAAATTAAAATAATATTTATCCTTCAATAGATAAAAACATAGTGACCGGAAAAAAAAAACAAATTTATGGCGTTTTCTTTTCTACCGACAAATCTCAAGCAGCAAGAAGAGGACAATGAAAAGTCAAAATTGTTTCTAGAAAAGAAAACATCTTTGAATATGGACGTACAGTGGTGGGAAAATAAATAGGGACACGACATTTTAACAAATTTTTCCAATTTTTCTTTTGTTTATTTAATAAAAAATTTTGTTAAAAATTGTGTGAAAAATTTTGTTAAAATGTTGTGTACCTATTTATTTTTCCACCACTGTATGTATTTGTGTACATTTACATATGTACATTAGAGTGGTCCAAAAATTCATGTGAAAGACACCCCCTAGGATTGTTCTATACCGAAAAAATATACCCCTATATTTTTATTTTGAAATCATAAAATATTATATTGGAAAAAAACAACTTTTCGTATAAAAAAAGGCTAGAAATCCATAAAATCAATATTTTTCGATGGGAAACCTAGCTAATTGTATTCTAGGTCTACAGCCAACCAACGAAGTAAATTTACAAAAAAAAAAGAAAAAAATTGCCACAAGGAATATTAGAAATCCGTTTATAAGATAAGGGTCCATCTGATCATTTTGATTGCAAATACAATATTAATAATTTAATAACTTAATATATACAACCATCAATCAATTTTATTTACACCAACAAACTAGCAACTGTCAATACTCATATTATCAATTTACATACCATTTAATAACTATATTTCTAATACTTTTCGCCCTTTAGGTAATTTTAAGCTGTGTCATAAATCGTGATCTGAAGTATTACAAAGTGATGCCCACATTTCATCACTGGCGTGCTGGTAAACAACGCAATGGTCTCACTTTTCAAACGGCTGCCGATGCGCGCGCCTTCGACAAAGGCGTTTTGCGCGCCTACAATGAATTAATTGATGGTAATTATCACTCGCTGGCGCAATGCAGTTGTAATTGTTTGAGCTGCAAGTAACAGCAATTGCATATAAGTGCGCCTGTATGGCTTGTAATGCCTAAATAAATGCCTGCAGTTCCTTTGTTGCTTTTTTGTTTGTGTGTGCGTTCTTTTGTGTTTTTTTACTTCACTTTTTCTTCTGCTTCTTCTTCTGCAATTTGTTAATGCTTGATTTCCGTAATTTACCTCAATTAACAATTTTCCTTATTTGTAAATACATACATATGTAAATACTTGCATATGTACATATATACATACAGTTACGCACAGAAGTATTCGTTGTTTAGTTTTTTTCAATCAATGTTGCAAACTTTTTACAAAATTCGCAAAAATTCAAAAATATGGGCTTCAAAATTTCAACATTTTTCATGGAATTTTTTTGAGTATGAAGTTTTTAGCCGATACAATTTTAATACAACAAAGTACTAGTTTAAAAGGCTAACACCTACCGGGGATTTTGGACAATTTTTTTTTTGTTTTGCTGACGGTTTCGCTCGTTTTATTCCATATAAAACTCAACTTGTTAGAATTCATTTTTAATAATTTTTTTTGGTGGCGGCTTTTGCAGTATAGTTGTGTATGTACATATATAAAAACTGGCGCTGCTTTTTCGAAATTTTTGTTGCGAATGATCTTCCGCAATTTATTTCATAAGAAACTCATGCTTATATGGAAAAAAGTTCAAAATTTTTCAGCAAATACAAAATATTGAAAATCCACGTACACTTCATTGGACTAAAATTGTCTGGGACTTGGACAATATTTTTATGGGGGAAACAATTAACTTGGCAAACATTGTGAATATTTAAAAATAAATCCACCCTTGGGCACTTGTTGGAGTCACTGTATATCGTCGTTTAAAGTACAAAACCGCAGTCCAGAATGTATCTGGTGTCAGGGTCGTAGGGTTGGAGGTGCATGCGCGTAGATGTTGGGTGTTGTGGAGACTTTGCCCGCATGCACGTCTGGTGTTTGCCAGTTCGGAGTTGGTCTCTCTCAGCAGTTCCGCTTCTTCTATATTTATGGGCAGAGGTTGACCGCCTATGACGACGTTTGCATTACGGGTGTTGAGACTCGTTCTCACTGTGTCACTGTGTAGTCTGTTGAACGCCGCTCTGTGTCTTGCTGTGTCGAACGGATGGTCTACGTACGGTTCGATGTCTGGCTTCCAGTCGTGCAGGTGACGTCTCACGCTTCGTGTGGCGGATCGTTTCCACGGTGACATCCCACGAGGAATGGCTTCGACAAAATGGTGTTGTGTTCTTTCACCGCCAGCATCTAGCGTCCAGGTGACGCTCGGAGCCTGTGGCCGTTCGTAGAGCTGCATTTTGGCATGTTTAGGATTTTTCCACTGAGTGTTGCTTGTTCCTGCCGACCACAGTGCCGATGCATAGTTTGCCAGTGACCATCCGATTGCCTTATAGATTGCGAGCAGGGTCTCTAGAGTCTTGAGGACTTTCTTCCTTGCTTTCAGTTTGTTACAGGTGGCTGAAGCGTGCGCGGGGAAGGATAACAGGCTATATAACGACACTCGCAGGGTTTTAAGGTGCTTGATTGTCGGTATTTTGGCGCCATCGACGAAGACGTCTAGTTCGAGCCTGATCTGCTTGGTACAAGTGGTGAAGAATGTGGCCGGTGATTTCGCGGCGGAGATGTTGAGGTTCCTTGCACTGAAGAAATACGATAGATCGGTGAGATATTCGTTGTTGGCGAAGGAAGGTTTGCCATGTGGAGAGTAAACAGCGTCGGGGAAGAGTACGCCGCCTTGAGGGACCCCCTGTTTTTTTCAACGGGCTTGGACTTGGCGGTACGAAATTCGAACAATGATTGGCGGGCAAACAGATAGCTGGTTATTCACCGTTTCGTCCGAGTTGTAAGCGACTAGTCCAGGACGTCTTGGCAGAGAGTCGTGTGACCGTGTCGATTGCCTTCAAAGGTCAACTAGCGACTAGGACCGTCCTATCACAAAGTCGACGTTGGTTCAGGCTTTAAAAGGGGAATCGTCCTACCCCAATTTCCACATCTCAGGTTGATGACAGTGACAAGTTGAAAGTGACTGTGATGAACTCTACTCCCGTAGATTTAAGCTTTTTCAGCATCTGCATGGAGATTCCGTCTGGGCCTAATGCCTTGGAGGCTTTGGCGTCGTTGACAGCTGACTGCGTATTTTCTGTTGTAAAGCACTTTGGTGTGTCTCTGGGCCGGAGTTTGTGTCCTTGACGCAGCATATTGTGGTGAGGCTAACGATGATTCACACGATAAAACTGTCGTTCCTATTTTCCTCATCATAATTTTAGTTTCGCTCTTCGACTGCAGTTATGCCGGCAGTCGGCTAAAATGAAGCTACCGGCATCACCGGTATCTTATACATGAAGGTGTATGAAGCAAATCAGCGCCTGTGAAACGTAGAAAACCAGGCCACGTATCGTCTATGAATCAGGTGGAGAGCAAGTACTTCCTGATCCAACCTGTTTTCGAAAGTACAGTTTCTGCACTAAAGCTTGCATACTGGAATGCATTTTTGTACATATGTATAGTTTCTTTTTTGTCCAGAATATTTGTTTGTTTTTTATACTACGCACTTGCATTTCTTTCAGGGAATTTTTATTTTTTTTTATTATAAACTCACTTTCGCTTACTACATTTGGTATGATTTTTTATTCTACTGCTTCTTTATCTCTTTCTCTCTAACTTTGCTTCAAAAAACACTATCGGATAATGTATTAATAATAATACAAACAATAACGACAAAATCATAAACTAAATTCTAATACGACAAAATGTAAATGTGCAAATTCGTGCTTGGTAAGTTGCAATTAGAATAAAAAACACTAGAATTGAAATGTTACAGACTACTGGCTGCCAAATTGTATACTAACAAGCAAAAAATTCTGGGTCAGTGTTCTTCTTGAGACGCTTATAGGACTGAGGTTAATGAAAAGTTTAACAGCTATACAATCCTCTGAGGGTCTCATAAGGCACTTTCTTATCGCTGTCTTATTCATCTTTCCGCTTACTTTTCTTTGAGTTGGCCTTTTGCATATTTAGACTTTACATTACGAGTATTTGTTATTTTTTGGTTACTTTACTAACGTTACTTTGAAATGTTTATACTTAAGAAATTTAGAAACTTGAGAAATCACAACAAACTCACGGATTTTCAGCAGTAGATAGTAGCGTAAATTTTACACACCATCGACTTCTAATTTATACACACTAATTTTTTATTTTTGTAAAGTACTTTACATATACATACATATGTATATATTCAGAATAGCAGTACATTTTTGTATCTTTTAAGTAAAATTTTTAAATAATGTACCATATTAAATTCTTCTTTTAGGCCTGGCCAAATCTAATCCATCAATAATATGTCCGCCACTCACCAAATACGACTCTGTTGGCGAAGACGACGTTTTTATGGTAACGTTGAATTGAAAAATGACTTTAATGCACATTTTCAAAATATTCCTTCCTTCTTATTTTTTCAAACACTTACTCAAACAGACCTTAGATCTACCCGTCGAAGCCGACTGCATACAAAAGTCATATTCAAGTCCCGAAGGCAGCGAAAAAAGTCACAGTATGTTGATCTAAAATTTATGTATTTTCTCTCATTTTTCTAACTTTAATCTTATTTGCAACACTCCATATTGGCCAATAGAAAGTATTAGTGTCGATCGTGGTGAACGCATTAGTCAGAAGAGCGAATTGGATAGGTCCACAGATGGTAAAGCCATCATTCACTACATATCGAATGAGAAGTCATGCAGCTTGCAAGCGCCACCACCGCCAGCATTGCTAAGTGCAACAACTGTCGGTGGCAATGGCAACAATGGTGCAGGCAATAATAACAACTGCAACCTGGTAACTACCACCACAGTGAGCGCTGCCATTATATCGCCGCCTATCACCACCGTTTCGTCGAGTCAGTTTGAAGCGCCACCACCATCGCTGCCAACAGCCATTGCGACCAGTGAGAATTACTCCTACGTGCAGCTGACAGCGGTAATGAATTTAGTTTATATATCTGCAGTCCAATTAATGCTAATTTTTTCTTTCCATTTCCATCTCTACTCTGTCGTTCCTCTCCACCACGTGTCTACTACTTGACAATTTTTACTTACATTTCTTCCAATTTTTTATTTCATTCTATTCCCGCTGCTTCCTATCGCACCGTCGCCCAACAGGTCCACGACTACAATTATCCGGTTGTCGATCAGCCGGCTGGCGCGCAGGTGCTTAACGCACGTCGCGAGTCGATTAGCGCGCTAAAGAAACGCAACGCTTTGGAAGCTGCACAAGCACTGGCCGCTGCTCAGTCCTCACCTATTGCCGCCGGTGTGATACTTAAGGATCCCGCCAGCAATGTGGACATGATCAAGAAGAGCCAACGTGCGCGTTGTCGCTACTGTCACGAACTCTACAATGATGAGTGGAACGGGAAGGGTGCATGTGAATTTGCGCCCGATCGCTTCCGTTCGGCATTCGAGTGTATTTCGGGAATCGGTTGTGCGCGTTGTATGATTTATCATTGTATGAGCGATGCCGAGGGTGAAACTCCACAACATCCCTGTGAGTGCGTCAATGAAGCAGGTTGCACTAAGCGGTAAGTAAAGGGAAAATATATGAATATATATATATATATATTTTAGATTCGTTGCTACGATACGAAATTTATCTGTCCCATAGTTGGCTCGGCCTAACACTGCTATCATTGCTCGTACCCTGCCTTTGGTGTTATCCGCCGCTGCGCGCCTGCCATTGGCTGGGAGTATCATGCGGCGTGTGCGGCGGCCGACACAAACCACAAGTCTGACATTTGGAGGGGCGATTGCAACAACAATTCGACAATGGCTACGTTTACGGCTACGAGGTGGAAGCTGATGTTATGAATTCAGACAGTTATGATTATGATGGCAACGGCATTGGCGACTTGGATGATCACTACGATTGTTATAATTACAGTTACAATTTCAACCAATACAATTACAATAATTACAGCTACAATTACAATACTTACAACCAACAAAAACCACTACGACAGCAGCAAAAGCATGCGCTAACAACAAACGCTGGTGGTGGCAGCACACTAACGCAACAATTCGAGCAATGGCATCTTAGCGACGATGCCATTATAGCAAAGGAACAGGAGAAAATTATTAAGCAAAGATTGAAGCAGCAAAAGAAAGAAAAGAAGAAGAAGTTAAAAGCACAACAACAACAAATGCAAGCGCCATTGCACTACGCGCTGCAGCAGGCGCGACCCACAGCGCAGCAGAACGACTATGGGCGCTTGCTGTTTTAATTTGATTTGTTCGGTTTGTTTTTTGTTGGCACAAAGATAATTTTTACTTGCAAATGGAGTGATTTTTTATCCCCTATTTTTGTATTCGAATTGCATTTATCAAAGTTTTTGATGAATTTATTTATTTAAGTTGCGAAAAGGGTACAAATTAAATTTATTACGCTCAAATATTTGTGTTTGGCTATACTTGATAATTTTTGGATCGCTTTTACTGCTTTATTTTAGAAGCAAAGTCACAGTTATGCGTTCGCAACGCACTTCCTACAGGGCTAGCGAATGTATTTTAAAAATTGTGTCGTTTTGTCAATGATAACTGATGAATTCATACATACTTACTCCACTGTCTTTTCGCATAAATGATTTTTTTTTAACGCGTTCAATATTTTTTTAGTACCTAATATACAAATAAAATAAGAAATATTCTAATTTAATAAACTGTAAAATTTTTGAAAATATTTTAAAAGTTTGTTTCCAAGTAACTGGCTTAAAATCTAACTTTAAGTTGTAAAGATAATTTTGTTTTAGCTGTAGAAGCCTGTTTCTTAAGCTGTCAAAGCAGCATTTATACATATAATATTTGTGTGTATATTAACGTTTAATCAAATTAAGTATAAGTTCTTAATTTTTTTTTTTTTGTAAGCTATATACATACGCATGTTTGTATGCTCTTGCGGGCTATGAATGTTTATTATAGTACTGTATATACATATACACATATTTTTATTTTAATATATTTTTTTAATTATCCGAATGTGCCACTTATAAATTTTCTCAAATACTTACATATTAAATATATTTATTACTTTAATTTTTGTGAGCAGCGCGCACAGTATTAAAAATATTTAAAATCTCACAGTACAAGCAAAACAAAATAAAAATAAAAAGATAGCAAAAAATATTTACAGAGTCGCTAAAAAACTACTAAAACACGATTTGTAAAATGAGTATTAAAAATGACTTGCAAAAAAACGTTTCCGAAAGTGAAAGGCAGCAATGCAAGAATGGGTGAATATTAGCATTGGAAATAAGATGATAATTGGAGAGGCAGAAATTAACTTGAAAATTCTTAAATGTACAAAATATTTACCATTAAATTTAATTGTTTTATTCAAATCTTGTAGCATGTCTATAAAAATTAATTTAAATCGTTTGCATACCTGCTTATACGAAAGAGTAGTATGATTTTGGCGGCAATACTTAATATGCATATTCTTTGCTTAAACTTTTAAATATTTAATTTATGCTTAGCCTATGAAAACTGTTTAGTTGTCCAAAAACAAGCGATTCGCTACAGTGACTCGTTAACCAAATTGAAAAAGGAAACACTCAAAAAAATATTGAAGCTACTATTTTACAAAATAAAAAATGAGAAATTCTGCGTACAAAAATTATTAATGTAAAATTAAACCAAAAAAAAAATAGAACAAATGAGGTTCATTGGAAAAAATTACAAACATTTTATGTAATTCTTTCAACAGGATGGTTGAAATGCGTTACAAAAACTTTAAAATGCAATGTAATTGAAAAAAAAATAATAATTGGAAATGTGAAGCGGCGAACACCGCATCGAGTTCCAAGAACAATTTTTTTGAAATGTTAAAAATAAAATAAATTAAATTATGCAGCACGCAGCCCCAAGTAATGCATGCCAAAGTCTGTAAAGCAGCATCGCGCGAGTTTTGCTGTGTTTGCTGTTATTAAAAAGTCTTAATAAATTAAAAATACAAAGAAATACGCGTTTCATATTTTATGTAAAAGGATAATTTTGACTCTTCTTAGGGCTCATGAAGACTCAAAATTATTTCTTTTGTTAGTTTAACAAAAACTGGTTCACCATACAATGCAATAGAGTTCGTTAAATGCCAAAATTATATTTTTCAGCGAAATTAAACTTAAATATGTAGTTTAACGCATATATGTTTCGTATTAAAACATTTTTTTTAAGTAAGCATACATAAGTTCAGAAACTTATATTTATTAATAATCCATGATTATAGCCTCATTTCAAATGATGGGGTTTAGGCAAAATTCGCGCTTCACTTGCTTTTAGGCTGGCACATTAATTGTGGGGGGCGCGTGTGAAAGAAACTATGCATAAAGTTAAAGCTAGCGGTCAAATGATTAGTTCAAAAAAAAAAGTTTTTATTAACCATTTGCCTGCCACGCTTTACTTCATAAACTTTTACAAGTTAAATATTATTAAAAAAATAAAATAAAAATAAACTATATAAAAAGTCGTACTACTAATAATAAGTGAATGTTGGTAAAACAAAACATGTATGTAAGTGAAAAAATATGCAGCTACTATATAAAAATAATACTACTATTGTATTACCTACTTACTGTAAAATTACTAAAAATCATAAATGCAAGCAACATACTAACTGTATGTAATAAAACAAGAAATGCTGAGCAAGCAGTCACAGTAAATTGGAAAACAAAAAATTAAAATATCTCCAAAAACTAAAGAAAATCAATAAAATTTAAATAAAACTTATTAACAACATATGTATAATGTATGTGCAAGCATTACTACTTTTATTATTTCACACGAATTTCTAGTTTAGTTTTGAAGTGAAAACACACTTGAAAAATTAATGCAAACAATTTATTATACTATTTACTAATTATTAATTCTGATTATTACTTAAAAGAATTACTGTGTTTATTATTATTATTATTGTTGTATTTAAGTAAATATAATAGATATGTATATGCATAAACAGTGTCTAACAAAAATAAAAAAATAAAGAAATATGCATTTGCATGAATTAACTTAAATATGGCAACATTTTGAATGCAGCTATTCCCAAGAAATCAGGAAATGGCGCTCGGCTGTGCCGACAGTTACATATTTAATGCCAATTGCGTAATCTAATAAATGCAACTAAACAAAAATAAAACTGATATAAAATGAGGTTGTGCGATATAGCGACAAATGCAGCAGCTAAACAAAAGCAAAAACTTAAATATCGAAAATTCTGTGAACTGTTTACGGCAAGGCAGGGCAGCAAAGGGCAAAGAAAATGAGGCAATGCGACAGCAACATGGAAGTAAAGAAGGAAAGTAAAAAGTCTCTAGAGATGAATTACTACGCTACTTAATATTCCTTGCCCGTGCAATGCTGCTGAAAATTAATACTACATAAGTGCAAAGTATATTGTATCAGGTGACAAACAGACAGACGGAACTAAGAAAAAATCGCCGAAGGTTCTCAATAGTAAAGACAAGAGCATATTCACATACAGCTCAGCAATGAAGCCAAACAAGCCATAAATATGAGCAATGTGTGTGCAGAGTTCAGATAAAATATTAAGTTAGAAGTTTATGAAACAGCTATTGAAAGGGAAAAAATATAACTACTTTTATTTGTTACGATACTATCAAACACGTCAAGTATTCAGAAGCGTCGCTAAATTTCTTGTTACTAACTAACTAAATTCTAACATTTGTTATTATAATAGTTCATTACTATGGGGAAGCTAATCGATTTGTTAAAAGTAAAAATAAACTCCAAACTTATTTATTGGACTTTTCGTGTAATTATTACTATTAACACTACTAACTATTACTTTCTACCAAAGAAAATTATTTATTAGCAAATTTTATTAAAAAAAACAAGACGCGAACATTAAACCTTTAGTAAAGTTTAGAAAAGAAAAAAACGATGCATGGATCTGATTGACTGGTACAAAAAAGAAATAAAATCACAAACCTTCGGCATAGATGAATAATTGAAATGGGGACCAATCCAATAAACTATAATAAATGGATCAGAAAACTAATAATAAAGAATTATTAAAAAAAAAAATATTTAATAAAATCTAAAAACAGAAACCAAAAGCAAATTTACGTTTGTTTTTTTTTTCTTTTTGGGGGTTGGTCGAGAGCAAATCCTAATGTGAAGCGTAAGTACGAAATAGATAAAATTGAATTTACCCAATTGTTGGAGAAGTTTACCGCCGATGTGTGCCCTCTTTGAACCAATGCTAAGAAGAGGGCAATGAAAAGGCAGCATTTTTTGTAAAATCAAAAACGCCATAAGTATTAATGCAAAATATTTTTATTCATATGTTTTCATCCTCATAGCAAGAGTCGCAACGAATGCAAGTCGTTTTTCGAGAGTCGAATCGTATCGAAAATTTCACGTCATTGCCTAAAGTTTCCACTCGGCTAGTGTATTAAAAGGGAAAAACTTTGCAGGACTGTATAGTTTTTCGGCGATTTTCGTAGTTTACTTATTTCAGCACGACAGTAGACAATGCCAATATTGTCGAGTCGTACAATTTAGCCTAATTAACAACTTACACAATGAGGCTGATTATTTTATTTTATTGAAAATTTATTTTACTTTTATTGTTATTGCTATTTTTTAATTATCCATTTTCTTTTCTGTGGGGTGAACCTGGTGTTTTAAGAATATTTGGATTCTCTTATCCATTCTGGAATTTCAAGTTCTCTAAGCTACAAAAACAGAAATATTAATGTAGTACTACAACTAGTTCGAAATTCATTGTGTAATTAG